TCAAATTTAAGCACTTTCAAATTGCTCAGAAAACAAATATACAGCATCTTTAGCCATGCATTATATATAGACATCGCCAAAAATCGTTGTACCTAACAATGTGTTCAATGTCGCGTTGGGATTACTTAAACAGAATTATGAATAAATGCATGTACTAAATAGTAACATTATTATTTATTAAAAATGTCCACATCAATTTGCATATAATTTGACTTTTGATTTTTCTGTTACTCTTGGATCTTGTTCACGAAACGCAGTCGACAAGAAATACTTACGTTTTACAATATCACGACTTTGACGTCGTTTTCTGCGCATTGTGACGTCAAAAGAGAAGGGTTCTTTTCTCATGACGACAGTCGTATAGTAAAAAAAACACTAGTAATATACAGTTGTTGTTTTGTAAATATTTGTTTCTTTAACATCTCTTTTCATGTGTATTATGATTTTGTTTGCGTTTACCTCGGACTCTTGTTGCACAAGTAATGCTTCACATAGTACTGATTTGTTTTTTCCTGTATATAGGAACTTTAGCTTCACGTATTATCACAAAATTTATTAAATGTAACAGATATTCACTGTAGTTTTCATCTGATATTGTTAGAACTAGTTTTACACATTTTCTTTCAACAATCTAAACTCTCCGAAAATTACAGACATACTGAAAAAAAATCAACTTAAAATTACCAATCTTTTAGCCTGATACTTATTTTGAAATATATCTCAAAATTTACACAATTTGTCCTAGCTTTTAAATTTTACTCTTTCAGTTCCACAACATTTTTACCGATCCGTATTTATCTTCTAGGGGTGTAGTGTACGAGGGTTGTCCGGTAAAATCGCGGACAAGTTGTCTAGATTGCAAAATAATCATCACTGCGTTCTAAAACTTTCACTACTTTTTAGTACATTTTTCATCAATATACATAGCAAATTTCAAATAGATATCTGCTCAAATAAACAAAATATGAGACTTTATGTTATGTGTGGTTTTGCCTTACGGCACACGGATGATAATGTCAAAGTGTCTAAATCAGCGTCATGTTTCCTCTTTGCTAAATAAAAGTTGGACAAGCTCCACTTAAATTCGGGGATTTCATTGATGCACATACTTGATTTTCCCTTTATTCCTCCATAAACAGTTGAGGAACCAATCTCGCACACACATGGGACCTTCTGAAGATTTATTAGTAAGTTATGGAGAGTACTCTCACTATCATTCAACTAAACAGACTCATATCGACGGTTTACAGTGACAGCGTCTTTTGCTATTACCAGTAGATGTTTGTCCGTATATCTTGTTCTACCCGGGGACTCGATCAAAAAGCTTCCGCTTAGAAAACTCCCAGTTCACTAGTATACTAAAGATCTAGTGATATTTTTTTTATATTTTATTTTTCTTCTGTAGTCATTTAAAGTTTCTTAGGGCGTCATTACTACATCTAAATCAAACTGAACTGTTCTCCGGTGCGCCGTAACGTCACCAAACGTCGCCATTTTTCGTGTGTTGCGTTTACCACTTTCCTCATTTCAAATGCTCGGTAAACTGCCAAAAATTAAGCAAATGCCTTGATATTTCACAAAAGACGAATTAGTAGATAGTGTATAAAAATAGGATAATTTTTACCCCAACCTTAACTATTTAATACTTTTATTTCGAAATATAACTCGTGTATTCGCTAATGAAACCCTGGTTTTTTGATCGTGCGCCGTAGGGCCGTACCCTGTGCACATTCAAGCATAATAAAATTTTTATTTTTGTCTATATTTTATCAAAAAAATAAGATGCACTTAAATATGATGAATAAACATTTGCTGAAAATTTCAGCTTAGTTCTCTCGTTATTTTTCGAGAAAAACGCTTTGTCCACGATTTTAACGGACAACCCTCGTAGGTTAGGGCGGCGCCGCGAGAATTATATCGGCATCAAAAGCAATTTTTTTACTTGCCTAGATGACTAAGCGGTCAAGTGTGCTGTTCCTGTACTGCTATGAGACAGATTTGTATTTTTCTAAAGTTGATGTGTGAGTAGTAATATATGGGCACACTATATTACTACTTGTGTGTTGTATTTAATTACTAAGTATGTAATAAGCATAATAATACATACCCTTTACCATATCATATCATGTATCAGGCCGAGACACAAATATTAGCCAGAATCAAACACGAACCTCTAAAACATCAAGGGTGGGACTAGGTTCCCTGCATGAATAAGCATCTCCTGTCGACCGGTCATACCGGCCGTGCGCTTCCTATCATGATCGGGAAAAACGAGAAAAAAAAATAGTATGTAAATTCACTGTGTTAATGTAAATTCACTGTGTTAATAATGATTTAATAATTAGAATGAAAAACGTCAGTCAGGATTCAACGTAATGACAGATTGTACAGTCCCTGAAACGTTCTACTTTCCCATTTTTCCGTTCGTTCAGCGTGCGTTCACCGTTCGTTCACCGTGCGTTCACCGTTCGCTCTCCGTTCACAGTTTTGCGTTCACCGTGCGCTCGCGTTCACCGTTCACTTTGCGTTCACCGTTCGCTCTTCGTTCGTTCACTTTGCGTTCACCTTGCGTTCAGCGTTCACTTATCGTTCAGTCTTCAGTGTCATTCGGAACTCCGAAGTGAAAGGACTTATCTTTTTTGAAGTAAGGATTTACAGGTTTTGAATTTAATAAATAACATACTGTGTTTAAAGAATCATTATTTCATGGGGAAAAATTATCTACAATATTTATTTTTATTATTCTAACTTAGCTGTTAGGTTATTCATAAAATTTATCTGGAAAATAAATGTTGTTATAAGTACATGTATGTACCTCTGAAGAACGATGCTGAAAAATTAAGTTTAAATACGGGAAAAATACTGATACTTCAAGCACTGCAACATTTTGTTGTTATGTTAAAGACGACAAATCGTTAATGGATAGATAATAATCGAAGTCAATTAATTTACCAACTGCAGGAAATATACGAATATATTTAATTCTATCACATTTTTTTTTTCAAATAATACAGAAATGCATGTTAGAACTTGTTCTGAGAATGATAAACAGTATCGCGGATATCCAATTAATTAAATATCTTTAGAAAGAATTAAATTGATAGTGTGGTTAAAAAAATATTTGTTTAAAATGTAATACATTAAAGATTTTTTTTTACTTTACATATATAAAGTCTTTAATTAGAAAGAGAGAAATACCATTATAACATGATTATCATTTATATAACCAAGGTGATTCTCCAGTAATGATATTTTTCACCGTAACTTATATGTTATTAAGAGCCCTCCCCCTCCCCCCCTTCCCCTAAATCGGTTACTTAGTTAGTATATCCAGTACATTTTAATTAACATTATAGAGGAAGTTAATGTGTTTTGTAGAACAAAAATTTCAGTCTCAAAACAAACATGCAACTAAACAAAGTCATTAAACAATAGTAGTTCAAAATATACATGTGCCGGCGGTGATATTTTAAATTGGCAGGGAGCATGTTTCAAATTCAAGCGGCTTAATTATTCCAAGTATTTATTCCCAATGTATTTTATTCATTTATCTATTTATTGTTATTAGAAATGTTGGAATCAGATCTAGAAATGATAAGAAAAATGCTAAAACTTCTTGGAAATACTAACACTTTGCCTTCGGTGTGACGAGACTTTCCAACTGCACAGTGTCGAATGATTTTGATTGACAGGTCAAGCACGTGGACTTCGTGTGAACTTGAAGCAGGAAAATAAAAATCGATTACGACTGTAAAACAAATGGATTTGTTGATTAAAAATGGTTACTTTCACTGCCTGATATATTTAGAAAAAAATTTAGAATATTTGTTTGATATAGGTACAAACATTTGAGGAAGGGGGGGCTAAAACCGAATCTCTCTCTCTCTCTCTCTCTCTCTCTCTCTCTCTCTCTCTCTCTCATTTGTCTGTTAAATAAAAACTATGACAGCAAATTACTTAAATATCAAGTTGTGAAAATTTAATATACATCAAATAATATGATTGATTCTTTGTATCATCTTGTCCGAGTATAATCACGGCCGGGAAATGTCTACAGATACATGTAGAAGTCTGCTCAATAAATCATCATAAAAAATAAAACTGACACATAAATATATTATTGCATTAGAATTTTAAACTACGAGTGTATTTATGCAATACGTCCACATACCTTTGTAAAAAAAAAAATTCTCATTATTTTACACGGAATCGCCTTGTATGGTTGTTACAACCGTTGTAATTCATTCTATATGTCCGTAGTTTTCTCTTCTAAAATCCACATTATTTGTAATGGTTTTATATATCAAATAAGAATAAACATATTTATTTTACAACTAAAGATTAATTTCATCTGTTATACTATAGCGTTCGGTAACAATTACAATGTTTTACAGCGATAAAAATCGTATTATTAAAAAGTTGAATTTAAACATCGTACATATGTGCAGAAAATATTGTAAGAAACTTGAATTGATAATTTTACTTAATGTGCATGTATCGTCTTTCTTAAGACAATTTTCGTTGATTTATTTATTTATTTATTATTCATTTATTTTTTTTAGCACCAGGCATTCGAATACAATAGAATAGTTTCAATGCAAGGAAAAGATCAGAGGCATTCCGAATAAATCGTTCATCTTGCGTTCACAGTTCGTTCACCGTTCACTTTGCGCTCGCGTTTGCGCTCCGTTCGCGTTCTGCGTTCTCTCACCGTTCACCGTTCACACATCGTTCACCAAGTTGCGTTCAGCGTTCACACATCGTTCACTCACCGTTCGCTCTGCGTTCGTTCAGCGTTCGTTCACCGTTCGTTCAGCGTTCGCTCACCGTTCAAGTGGGAAAGTAGAACGTTTCAGGGACTGTATTTGCTGACACGGTCCTTGTATCTATCATATAGAACTTATGAAATGATGACTTTAAACGAGACTGTTGAGATTCTTGTTTTATAAACTTGTTTGTCAATAACTTGCCTTGTTTTAGAAATTGTTTGTACGTATAGCATGATCTTGCCTATCACATCAACTGGGCGATATAAACCCCATATGCAGGTATTAGGGGTATATTGCTATATAAGTAAGGGAGGTCGTCGATAGAAAAGTTTAAATCAGCACATTTTTCATAAAGGTTTCGTGTTATGAGACCGTTGTCGTCTTTTTCTTGTATCTAATTACTCCAAATATGAAACAGATGTGTCAAACTAAGTGGTATCATTTCAAACTCATTGGAATATATCAAGTCGAGATATGATAAATATAGATATTAATATACTTTTTTATGTAGTATTTATTCAAAATATGGTAATTTTTGATTTCAGACGACTTTTGGGGACCAGGAACTTATTCACGTTGGAGAACATCCATATCAGGTAAATTGTAACTTGATCTGCCTGTATTATATGTTTCCCAATTGTTTAATTAATTATTTGTTACATTGTCTTTCAGCTTATCAATACCCATGTTTAATAAACATTTTGTTTTCTTCAAAACACAGAGCAACAAAACTTGTCATTTGGTATCCTTTGTGTTGCGAAAATAAAATTTTTGAGCTAAACACCAGAATAAAAATTGAAGAAAATTACCCCCCCCCCCCCCAAAAAAAAGAGTGATTTCTAGTAATAAGTAATGTTTATTCTTCAAGTAACTGTATTAGGTAAATAATCATTTTGGGATCGTTTTTTTCATCGTTTATTGCATATGATGAAAAGGCTGATGATTTAATAATTACTGGTAATTGTAACGATAACAAATGTTTCCCAAAAAGGCTCCACAACCCCTTACTGTACCTTATTTCTTACTATCTTTATTAAAAAGGTTGGGGGAAAACGTAAATTCATAGTATCGGTATATCACTATTATAGTTAATTTCCGCTATACTTTCAGCCGTATTTTTCCTCGATTTCATCAAATAACATATTGCTGTTTATAGCGCAAGTCATGGTGGGTACCCTAACAAAAAAATACTATAGTTAACTATAGTTAACTATAGTGATAACTCTGACACTATGAAAACTTTGATTTACTATAGTGATAACTTTGACACTTTGATTTGCTAAAGTGATAACCATGAAAACTTTGATTTACTTTAGTGATAACTTTGACACTTTGATTTACTAAAGTGATAACCATGAAAACTTTGATTTACTTTAGTGATAACTTTGACACTTTGATTTACTATGATAACTTTGACACTTTGATTTACTATAGTGATCACTATGAAAACTTTGATTTACTATAGTGATCACTATGAAAACTTTGATTTACTATAGTGATAACTTTGACACTTTGATTTACTAAAGTGATAACCATGAAAACTTTGATTTACTTTAGTGATAACTTTGACACTTTGATTTACTAAAGTGATAACCATGAAAACTTTGATTTACTTTAGTGATAACTTTGACACTTTGATTTACTATGATAACTTTGACACTTTGATTTACTATAGTGATTACTATGAAAACTTTGATTTACTATTGTGATCACTATGAAAACTTTGATTTACTATAGTGATCACTATGAAAACTTTGATTTACTATAGTGAAAACTTTGAAAACTTTGATTTTCTATAGTGATAAATATAACACTATAGTGATCACTTTGAAAACTTTGATTTACTATAGTGATAACTTTAACACTTTGATTTACTATAGTGAACTTTAGCTAACTATAGTAAACTATAGTTAACTAAAGTATTTTTGTTAGGGTATACTAGTTACCATGCAGACAAAAATTAGCATTCCTTTTTCTAAATTCGACAAACCTCTTTCAATGCGGTTTGAAAGTTATTACAAGCATTAATTTGTGTATATTTGTGAGAAAAATTGAGATCCAGTTTTTCTTAAATGCTTTCGCAATCACTGGTTGCTATGATAAAAATGTAACTTCCCTTTAAAAAGTGTATTCGCATTATTAAACGCATCATCATAAAACTTACTAAAATTCAAACATGTAAGGGTGCCAATTAGTGTCCATTTTTAGCTAAAAACAACATTCATTTGGTATTTCACATTTCATTAAAAAATCTCTATAAATAACATTTTTTCTATGATTAACGAAACATTCGAGATTAACGATCAATGCAACACCAACGACGTCCAAACGAAGCTCGTGGCATTTTTGAATTTGTTCTGAATTTGTTCGAGGCGTTTGTCATGCGGAATCATGCTTCTTTAAAATATAATTCGAAGCATAAATTCTATTCTTTATTTAATTTTCTTTTAGTTTACGTGTAATCCATTTTACACATAATACAGTTAAGAAAATATCTTGGAATTAATTATTTTAAAAGACAATTTCTCACGATCAATAAACCTAATTGCTTGCATAGTTATCGGCTGTCTCAACGTATGGCGTATGGCGTTTAGTTCCAGACATTTTAGTCTGTCGTCATTTTAGTTGGTCTTCGAGACACGACTTCCATCTGATAACCAGCCCAGCCATTCTGAACCTCACTAACTTATATAGACCACTGCTCGATACATTTGGTTGTGTCGTCCTATCGTTTACATCTCTTTTGCCCGTATGAACATAAGTCAAATACTGCTCAACACAGCACTAAATGATAATCTGATCCGCCGCACGTCGCCATTTTTGACTATATCTAAAGAATGTAACATAATATTTTTTGTTATTTGTGGTGACAAAATCTTTTTTACACATATATACACTATGTCATAAATGATATTTCTATGGATGTAAATTTTGTAGCATTACTTTTCTATATAGCCTAGTAATACAAAAAAACTTCGATAGCAATGCTATTTTTGACGATCAAAAAATTTACTTGTGCCGACCAGCGATATTTAACACCCTTTAACACCCTTTCTATACTGCTTCTAAATTCATATGACTTAAAGACCTTATAGGATGTTGTCAAAATGACGAAAATTGAATGACTTTAATCCGGTAGTTTATGAAATATTTGGCTTTTTGAAATGGAAATTTGTAGTTGCCTTTTTTTTCTGGGACAACCCACGCATATCGTGTTAAATTGTCTTGCAGTATATACTTTGTAAAATTTCAAAGGATTTAATTGAAAAAGAAACGCAAGGTGTAAATCGGATGAAAAAGCGGTAACTCTTCGAATTCATCTGGCAAAGGATTCTGTTTTGAAAGGAATATTCTGTAAAAGGCTACTTGTGATCAGTTATAGTGAGCATACTGTTGTGTGGAAATTTTTGTATTCGCGAAAACCGATATGTTAAAAAGCGCAGGAAACTCGTCCGATGTCGGAAAGGTATGGATAGAGACACTTGAAGTCAAACTAAAGGACAAGGTGCGTTTGGTGCGAAAATCGGCCCCGTGTCAAAATTAAATAAACTTCCTCAAAATTCTTTGAGAGAGTGTATATTTTCATGAAATTATCAATATATGCATGTAAAAAGCTTTATTAATATTTTATATAAACGTAAAAGTAGCAAAGTTTACGATAACGTTGTGATATTTTGACGTTCCTTTATGCGACGTCATGAACAAGATTTGAACGTCTTGTTTTAAAATAAATCCAGCTTACTTCGGTACTTGTATATTTTATTATGTACGTTTATTAAATCTCATTTTTATCAACGTACATTTCGATTCACTGGTATACATGTGATTGCGTGCCATGCTTACTAAATTATTTTTCATAATTAAAGGCAAATCTTCAAATCAATTGGTATGGTCGGCTTTGTTTTTTTTAATCATAAGGAAATAAAGGAGGTGTACATGTACAGTATATTCTAAGCGAATTTCTCACTTTCTGAGCCCCGCATTGGCATATGCAAAGTTATTGGCTTTGTTTGTTAACTTGACGAACCGTAATTGCCAAGCTTTGTAATTTAAAAAACTTAAAGGACCGTTAAACTTTTTCTTGGATTTTGATTGCAGGTGTTCAAGAATATGATTTTGTGTGTAATATTATGTCAGTATGGCTCGCGAGATTTTGGTCTTCTTGCTTATCTGCATTATATTTTCAACAACAAACAAAAAAACCCACGGTTTACTTCTCCGCAAGTACTTGACATTGATTTTCTGTGGCTTGATTTACATACGTTTACCTGTGTCTACCTACTATAATATTTTATTTGCGCTGTCTAAAGGCATAGCCCATCATTCTTTTCTTTCAGCAGTTTCGGAAATACTCCAACATCGAAGTTATCAACTATTATTTTTATCTTTTCTTTTTTTTTTCCAAAATTGCAGTTTTTCCCGACACATGAAAATATTAGGATCTACAGGTTATTGAATAGACAGCATGTTTTAACGATGCCAAGGTTTTGTGATATTGTTTCTCTTGACAACCTGACCGTTCACGGTAACTCAGTCGGTAGAGCGCTCGCTCCGTGATCGGGAGGTCGTGAGTTCGAATCTAGGCCGCGTCTGACCTAAGTCGATAAAAATGGGTTGCAACTGTTCCGTTGCCATGCGCTCTGCACTTTGAAGTGAAAGTTGCGGGTCCTTTGGATGAGACCGAGACCCCGTGTCACTGCAGACGTTGGCACGATAAAGATCCCTCACTGCTCAATGGCCCTGAGTGCCGAGCAAAGGTCAAAATTTGATGCCCTTCACCTGTATATGGTGACGTCTCTATATGAGTGAAAAATTCTCGAATGGGACGTAAAATAACATACAATCAATCAATCAATCTATGTTAAAACGTTGACATTTCTCAAAGTTACTTTCTGAAATCTAGCACCATGAGAGATTAGTCCCACTGCAAAATTTCAAAGTTTCAAACAGAAAATGTAAAAGAATTTCCTTTCAATAGTAACAATTAACTAAGATAAAAGATAAACAATACTTCATTACACTACCTTTTTGCATGGTTTCTTTCTTTCATAAAACAACATACAATCTCTTCACAACCCTTTTAAAAGGAATTATTTCACAGAACCTTGAAGATGTAAAGGTTAATGTGTAGATGTCCTACAATCTACTTGGGTCTTTTAACGATGTTTTAGAGAGGTTTACATTAATTCATCCCCGTGGTAGACAAGAAGCAAAAGGTACTACCTGGTTAATAGAGGATTTCGCGGAAAAGAAAAAAAAAAAAAAATATTAGTACTTCACAGTAAAGAAGGATTTTTCGCGGAAAAGCAATGTGCACTCGCGGAAAAATGTAACAGCGCAATTGAGGAATTTTCCTGTAATTTTCCCAGGGAGTGAGGCTCCATACATGTACCAACATAAAAAAATAGATCGACCCAAAGGACAAAACCTTATTAAAAAAAGAAAAGTAACCCAAACCTGAAAAACCTATTTTGAAAGGGGGATGTCACTTTACCTTCCTACATATCTTACCAACTTTACAAAGTTTTCTTCCCTTCCCCTTCATATTTTTGGTATATTACTATATGAATTTTATACAAGTGGTGTGTGTTGGGAC